CGACTCAATCAGTGCCTTCCTACCTCATCCCTCTTCCCAGTTCGGTCGTTGAATAATCCAGTTGGTCATCCCTCATGAATGTTTTCCCTTCTTCGCTGAGTTAAACGAGAGTTGATTTGGTGGCGCGTGTAAATGTGTCGGCAGACCGAAGGAACCAATGAACGTGCCAGGCTAAAGCAGCGAAAAGAGAGGATTTTTTATATAAGACAAAGGCACGGGACAAAGTGAGCGATTGACGAATCACCGATGCTAGCGTGACTGGATTAGTTAACGTAGGTCACTCAAACGGTAAACGTTGTCGGATAAGTTGACACAGGGCACGCTGTCGGAGATGATATACGTGGACTCAAATCATCGGATTGTCTGTCTCCGATGTTCCTGTAGCGGACGTCACACATTACAATCTCCGAATCCAGGATCCCAAAGTTAATGCCGTAGGAATTAGAGATGGATTATGCCGTCGTAGATTCAATCTGTGATGAGAAAATCGGCAGCGGAAAAGGTAGTCTGGGAGCGGAGAGTCGAGTCTCCGACAGGGTTTCGGCTCTCCGATGGGAACATCGCTTTCCGACGTTCGGGAGGAATGTCACTGAAACATGACTCAATTTTATTTTTTGTATTTCATAATCCGATTGGGGGATGGGGAGACAAAGCGAGAACTTCGCCTTTACAGCTGTAAGACATTTTGCATTTTTCAGGTTGCTGCACTACATGTGACAAAGGGGGCACAGGCGCGCATCTTAAAATCAGGCGGCGAGATCCTCACGTTCGATCAGTTGGCTTTGCGAGCACCGCGCGGTGAAAATACGGTTCTTTTGCAAGGGCCACGAAAGCATCGTTTGGCTGAGAAACATTTCGGACCGGCTCCGGGTGTACCGCATAGTCACGCTCGGCCTCTTGTTCGTTCGAAAGGAAGAAAGTTCGAGCGTGTAAGTTTTACGTGGTGTCTGCTCGTGAAGCATTTTTTCTTCTGGAGACTTTTCAGTGGATTTTCAAATGTGTGTAGATGTAACGAGGAGGGCCTGGGCAGCCGAGGGGAAGCGCATAAACAATTTTTTATTAGTACAAGTGCAAAAATCAAGAAGAGAAACAAGCCACGAAATCAACCGGCAGCATCTCCAAGCCACCGCTATGCAACTTTTTGGAACACCGAAACAATTTCAAGTTCATTTCTAATCACCACATTAAATATCACGG